CCCCAACGTCCCCAATGTCCCCAATGTCCCCACTGTCCCCAATGTCCCCCAATGTCCCCAATGTCCCCAATGTCCCCAATGTCCCCAATGTCCCAGGTGATCAAGACGCTGATCCTGCCGCGGCTGCCGGCCGAGGGCGAGCGCGTGCGGAACATTCTGGAAGGGCCGGTGGTGAGCACCATCGACCGCATCGGCGCCGACCACGTGCAGAGCCTGCTGCTGGTCAGTGGGGACATGGGGACAGCGGGGACACGGGGGACATTGGGGACATTGGGGGGACATTGGGGGGACATTGGGGGGACATTGGGGACATTGGGGACAGTGGGGATATTGGGGACATTGAGGGGGACATTGGGGGTATCTGGGACATTGGGGACACCTTGGGGACACCTGTGGGCAGCTTGGGGACACATAGGGAAAGCTGTGTCCCCAGTGATGTCCCCAGTGATGTCCCCGATGTCCCCACAGAAGCACTGTGCCCCCGTGCTGGGGCTGTCCCAATGTCCCCAGTGATGTCCCCGATGTCCCCACAGAAGCACTGTGCCCCCGTGCTGGGGCTGTCCCAATGTCCCCAGTGATGTCCCCGATGTCCCCACAGAAGCACTGTGCCCCCGTGCTGGGGCTGTCCCAATGTCCCCAGTGATGTCCCCGATGTCCCCACAGAAGCACTGTGCCCCCGTGCTGGGGCTGTCCCAATGTCCCCAGTGATGTCCCCGATGTCCCCACAGAAGCACTGTGCCCCCGTGCTGGGGCTGTCCCAATGTCCCCAGTGATGTCCCCGATGTCCCCACAGAAGCACTGTGCCCCCGTGCTGGGGCTGTCCCAATGTCCCCAGTGATGTCCCCGATGTCCCCACAGAAGCACTGTGCCCCCGTGCTGGCCAAGGCGCGCCCCCCCCCCGACAGCCCCGAGTGTTACCGGGGGGATTTCGGGTACCTGGGGGGGCTCCTCTGCTCCCACGTGGTGAAAGCGCGGGCACAGGCGGCACTGCAGGCCCAGCAGGTCAACAGGACCACCCTGACCATCACCCAGGTGACATTGGGGACATCGGGGACATCGGGGACACTGGGGACATTGGGGGGATTGGGGACATCGGGGGGATCGGGGACATTGGGGGGATTGGGGACATTGGGGACATTGGGGACACAGCGGGCACAGGCGGCACTGCAGGCCCAGCAGGTCAACAGGACCACGCTGACCATCACCCAGGTGACACTGGGGACATTGGGGACATTGGGGACATCGGGGGGATTGGGGACATTGGGGGTGTTGGGGACATTGGGGACATCGGGGACATCGGGGACATCGGGGGGATTGGGGACATTTGGGACACTGGGGACAATAGGGGGGTTGAGGACATCGAGGCCCAGGTGACACTGCAGGCCCAGCAGGTGACCAGGACCACCAGCAGCCAGGTGAGCTTGGGGACAGTTGGGGACATCGAGGGGGGGGGGGGGGGACGTGGTGGCCGGGGGTTGGACAGTGGGGACAG